GGAAGAGAATTCAAGTGTGTTAGTTACCTGGCGCTAGTTGCTTAAGACATCAGGACGACGGCTGGATGTGACACCCTGCTCCTGCCGTCAGTCTGCCTCTGAGACTACAGTAACTGTTAGTGACCAAACTTCCTATTTCCATCATCTCAACCGTGTCCCCCGTGTTCTTCCAGCTTGGCTCTCCTGTAACGGCTGTGAAGCCCTGGCTGAGTTTTGGCTTGGAGTGAAAAATGCTTCTGCTGTTCCCCGTAATATCTGATCAGTTCTCCTTGTAGGTCTTTCTTCTTAATTAATGAGGTCTGGTGAAATCAAAGCTGAAGATGGCTGGGAGATGTCTGCAGTATACCAAAATGTAGAGTTCTGAGCGTCATACAGCTAAGCAAGTAAATGTATTTTCTAGTTCTTTTGTAATTGGAAAAGAAGTCTGAACACCTCTTCTACAGAACTATTTATATATATTTGAAGGTGTTTTGGTTTGGTTTGGTTTTTTGCCAAATACACTGTTCAGAAGTGAAAAGTTAAAATATCTTCCATCTGCATAGCATAGCTGTTGTAGGTCTGTCTGTGAAAAAGATTTTATTTATTTATTTATTTATTTAGCTTTGCAACTTTTTGGTGAGGCATACGGATAATCCTCGTGCACAGTGATCCATGGCAGGGCAGCAGCTGCGTAACACGCTGCCTGCAGCCCAGGGCTGAATGTGAAGAATATTCCAGCTGTTTGATGGAAAGACTCTGTTTAACATTTCTCTTCCTTTCAAAACCTTTCACTGGATCTTTAGAAATAGGTGGCCGGAGCCTTGATGATTCGATGATGCCTCCAGCCGTCTCGCTTGGGTCTTGTGGCGATACTTGTTCAGAGGCAGCTGCGTAACACGCTGCCTGCAGCCCAGGGCTGAATGTGAAGAATATTCCAGCTGTTTGATGGAAAGACTCTGTTTAACATTTCTCTTCCTTTCAAAACCTTTCACTGGATCTTTAGAAATAGGTGGCCGGAGCCTTGATGATTCGATGATGCCTCCAGCCGTCTCGCTTGGGTCTTGTGGCGATACTTGTTCAGAGGCAAAAAGCGCTGCTTTTTGAATCAACAGTGCAACTTCAGATTGGCCATCTGCACTCCTGCAGTCAGGCATCAGCTCTCCAACAGACCGCTCAGCTGTCAGAAATACCGTGGGTTTGTGGTAAATGATGGTTACTACGGGCTCGAAAGCTAGTTGTTGTTGGAGCAGCATCAGAGATGTGAAAGATTGGTCCTTGGTTTTTATCTGGTGTTAGGAAGGTTTCTGTAGCTTCGTCAGAGATGACTGTACACAATACTGTGGTGGACGAAAAGGTATACTTAAGAAAGGTGGGCTTTTTGAGCTTTAAAAAAACAAGTTTGGAAAATTGATGCTAAGGTGACTTGTTGATCGGGAAGGTGTTCTCAAAAGTTTGTGCATTTGTGTCCCGCAACATTTTTTCAGGGAAGAGTGCCCAGTTTTGCCCTTGGTTAGATGGCACCTCAGTGTTGTCTTCTTTCAAGTATATTTACAAACCTCCCAACATACTGAAACATTGTATAAATATTTCACAGAGCAGCTTCAGTTTCACTTTGAAATTGTGGATATATTGGAATTATAAAGTGTGATTTCTCTGTCTTCAACCACATGTCACTTTTGGAACAACGTGGATTTGCAATACTACCAGCACGAGGGCTCATATTGACCATGTATTACAGTTTTTGTTTTCTAGCTTAAATAGATTTAAATGGAGGATATCTTCAATTGCGTGAAGTCAGGTGGACTCATTGCTTCCTACAAAGAGAAGCACACTTATGTAGCGGGACAAAATGTGGGTCTGCTCCATTTCACTCCTCATTTTTCTATGTAATACCTCGCTGTGAAACCAGCACAAACAAGTGCAGGTCCGATCCCTGTGTATTGTTCTTATCTCTGTGTTGGCAGAAGAGGTGAGTTTGGAGACCAGAGGCTCTGTGCTTTGCCAGCTGCTGCTTTAGGGCTTTTTTGGTGGCTGCAAGTTCTTACTCTTACCAGGATGTGATGGAGCGTGTGTGCTGGGAAGAGATCCTGTCTTTGGGGAAAGGATCTGTCTTTGGGGCCAGGCTTGCCAGAGGGAGTGGAATATCTCTGAAGACTGAGAAGGGTGAGGAATTAATCAAAGAGGAGGAATATGTATGAATCGAGACTCCTGTGATTGTAGGAAATGCAAGAGGGCACTGGGCATAACGAAGACTTGGAGAAGAGAAGAATGTGGTGTTAGGGAGGAGAGTATCTCTGTGTAGGCCTGCCAGTCTTGTTAGTGCTTGTTGGACTGATAGCTAAAGGCACTTGGAAGCAAAATGCCTCCCTCAGCCCTCGTGGACACTGCATGCCCTTTCTTCGTTTGGGACCACAGAAGTGGGATATTGAAGCCCAATTTCCTTTCATTTCCGCAAGCTGTCTTAGCCCTTGAGTAATAGTTTTTCCTGTCTAACTTGAAGACTAGATAAATAGCATTCTTAAGAATGGGATTGCTCAAGAATGGCATGTTATTAGGAAAACAATAGCGTGTAACAGTGAATTGCTTGCTCTTCACTTGTGTGCATGCTGTGCGTTCACCGCGCATGCAGTTCTACAGCCGCAGGTTGTTTTAGCAGTCTGCTCTTCAGCTCTTAATGTGCTTTGGTTCAGCTAGTGAGATTAATGCAAAGGGTCTTCTGAGTAACATTTTCCTGACTCTGTTGGAACAGTTAGAATATTTTTATGAACACAGTTAGTAAAATCTTTCCATGCCTGTCTGAGATTGGTTAACCAGCGTATCTGTTTCTTCAGGAAATGAAGATGATAAGTCTTGTGCTTAAGCTGTATTTTAATGTCTTTAAACCCCATGGTTTTTATGTGTGGAGTATAAATAGTTTGGGTAGCTCTCCTGTAGCATGTTTTGGTGTCGATGCGGTAAGTGCAAGGAAGAGCGCTTTTCACCGTGTTCTCTGTGCTGCCAAAATGCACGAAACTAACTCTGCCCCGGTCACATTAATTCTTCCACCTCATAGGCTTTGAGTAAACCATCCCGAGCTTTTCTTTGCACCAGTGTGTTCAGCATTTTTGTCAATAGAGTCCGATGCTGCCAACAATGCATTTTATAATCTTTTTTTGTTATAAACCAGCATGCGCTTAGAAAAAAATCATATGTAACTTCACAACTGCAAATGATTCTATGAAGCCTTGTCTGTCAGTTGCATTATTCAGCCATTATTATCTATTTTAAAATATTAAAGTAGCAAGGAGTTGGTTTTTGGTTTTTTTTTTAAGGATGCTTAATCATTATCGTTGATGACATCTGGTACCTTACAGCTTCAGACCATGCAGTATCTCTTCTCAATAGCAAACTGACTATAGCAGTTGCTTTTGCCAGCAGGTCAGTTTACTTTTGTACTAAGAAAATAGTAGAATAAAGTCTTCAGGCATAGTTTCCCAGGCTGGGGACTGATTCTGTGCTTACAGTTAAACCTGTGCTTAAGAATTTTCAAGATTGTGGGCTTGCATTGTACTTCTGGATTTGTCTCATGCTTAACCCACCAGGTATTCCCAAAGTAAAACTCTTGTTAAAGTTTTTTTAATATATATATAAAAGTGTGTGTGTATAATTTCATCAGATTTTTTGACCCACCTTTAGCTGTAACATTATTAGGAGTAAATGCTCTTGAGCTTAAGGCACGAAAAGTCATGCCTCTGTAGAAATGATATTTGGCTTAAAGATACCATGTTGTGTCGGGTTCTCTGATGTGCTCTGTGTGTGTTCGTTGGCCTGACAATCTGTGAAGACTGCTAATAGTTTTCTTTCTTTGAATACAGCCGGCTATTGGATCAACCTTTTGCATTAGAAGCGTGGTGGCAACAACCCAGTGTGGTGCTGGAAGTAACAGATTCTTGTAATATGACACATTCTGTTCAACTTCCACTTGGATTCCTTTGTGTTCTTTGACAGTTTTTGATAATCAATAAGTATTTTAGTCTTTTAAATGAGAAATTTGACCTTGACATAAGATCATTTCTTAGGTAAAATCTAATGGAAGGTAAAATATGACAACGCGTAACTAGAAATCGTAGTGAAACATTTTACACGCTAATCAGACTTCTCCGGATGTCTTTTCTCCAACCAGGACTGGATTCTGCATCAGAACACTCCTTCTCACATTGAAAGCTGCCGCCAGTTACGCCAACAGTAAGGAATCCATTTAAAAAGTTCACTTAGTGTAAAAAGTGTTTTCTGGGCGTGCACCTAGTCTGTGAAAATGAACTTGCCGAATTTCCTTACTGAGGATTGTCGGTATCCAAGCGCTGTTCCGGATCGGCGTTAGGCCCTTAGGGTAGAAGATGAACAGGCACTTGGTGCTTCTGGGGTCCTGAACGGGAACCTTTATCTGTAAAAGCTACTGCATGTCAGCAAAAATTGTGTTCGGATGGCAAATGTGGCTTTTTCACTGACGGTTGTATTTTTAACATTTAACAGGTACCCTGATTGGAACCCCGAGTCTCATTCCTCAAAAAGGTAACTGCTTTTTTAATTACAGGTTGCTTTTAATTTGTTGCTATTATAAACAAGTGGTAATTAATGCAGTTAATTTTCCTGTTTTGCTCATTGGCAAGCTCTATTAGTGGTGGTGTATTTTCGCTATAAAGTTGCGTGGGATGTTTTTGTGGCTTTTCTCCTAAGTTTGTTTAATAGTACAAGGGAGTTACTGGACGTGATACAGTAATTACCAAGCGAGACTGTGACCAGGGTTAGATCACCGATTAAACCACATGAGTGATTTCTGACTTTGACCTAATCTTTTTTTCCAGTTAAGCCACTCTTGTTTGCAATTTGACACCTGTTTGACAATAGGCATGCTAGTGTTAGCTCTTATGTCACAGACTCTTCAGTCTGTAGATCCCCTGGGAAGCTACGTGGTCACAAGTTGAAAAAATGCTGGAATTCATGAACTCATGTTCTGTACTTAAAAATGATGCTGTTTGTTATTAATTTTTTAAACACACACCCTGTGGATGAATTGCGCTTGAATCTCAGCAAGTTTGGATTGTTTTACTGGTTCAACATTTGCACATATTTCAACTTGTGTACCGATGGGAATGATATGACTTTAATTTTTGCTAGATTTTCCTGTGACTTTCTGTTAATTAGTTTGATGTACTTGAATATGTAGGTCAGATTAATTTGCAGAGTGCATCTGAGGTCCCTCCATGTTAATAAACAAGGAGAAAGAAAACTTCAAAGAGAGAAAGAAACCAAACAAGCTTTTGAAACTTTGACGAAGAGAATAATTGTATTTCAAAACCTCAAACTCAAATTGTTGTCCAGTGCTGCGGATGTTACATACAGCCCGGGCAAGGGAAACTCTCTTAGCTGGAGGTCCTTAATTAGCTGGAGAAATGGTTAATAGCACTTCTTTGGAGTGAGTGATCTTCTGTGTTCACAGATGGAGCAAAAGTTGTCTTTTAGGGTGGTGCTTTCTTGAATCCTTCCTGATGACAGCATCTCTGGTGGGAGAGTTCGAGTTCAGTGTAGGCTCTGGGTGCTCATGGATGTCTGGAGCTGCTGGGTGCATTCTCGGGGCAAGGTCAAGACTGCTTTTTATAAATTGTGGTGGTTTGTTGATACGTTCATACATTTGTGTTGGGCACAGGTGTAATGGGGTTTATGTGGATTTTTAATGATGTTTGAAACTTGTTAATGAAGTAACACTGTGAGATGGTGGTACGTGAGGTGGGTTGGAACATCGTTTAGGAGACCTGAGGGTTGTTCCGCTGTCCTCATCTGGTGCTGGCCAGAAAGGTCAGGCGGCAGCCGCCTCGCCTGTCGTCCCCTTCTGTCTGCCAGCTGTCAGCCCTCTCTCCTCAACCTGTTCCATCTTGAGTAGTCAAAGTTCCTCAGAGGTCTCAAACAGTGATAATACGGCTCGACGTGGTGATTCGTTTAAGCACTGATGCTTTAGATTATCTTTAACAAACTTAGACACTTCTCACTTAAAATGTGAACTTCTCTTCCATGTCGTGTTGTGAGACTCGTGTATTTTAGTTGTCCAGCATACAATCTCCCCAGTAAGTCTAGTCGTACTGGATGTAACTGCAACGTCAGTTATTTCCCTGTGTTTCTTTAAGTTTTGCTACTGTAATTACTGGTGAGTCACCTGAAGGATATGCTATATCAGTGGCTTCTTCCAGTTTCAGATCTCAAAGGTGCTAGGTCTGCTCTACTCGGTTTTGAGTGCTGGTGCAGCGTGTTTGTGGCATCAAATAAATCCATATGGGCTGAAAAACTGGACAAGAGCTTGGCTGTAACACACTGGCCTGTTACCTCACAAGCTCATCAAAAAACGTTTTGGCTGTTATAGCATATACTCTGTGCATTTTCAGGGTTTTCCCTGTTACTCCTGTGGTCTGTCAGGGTTTTCCTATGTCTGATTACTTCCTGTGTTTCTAGGAGGGACTATTTCTCTCCCGGATCTCTTCACCGTTACTTCTTTCCATGTCCTTCATCGGTTTGACATCTCTAGGTAGCATACGTATGCAGTGTGTGTGTGTGTGTATGGAGTCCTCTCAAATCTCTCGTTCAGTAATGCCTGAAGGTGGCTTACTTCCAAACTAGATTTGGAAGAAGCAAGGAAAACATCTTACTTCATTACTCTCTATGTATCCTTTTCCTCTTCCTATTATTTTTTTCATAGCACTGCAGCTTGTAGCTTCACAGTTTTCTTGGCGGCTTTCTCTGAATCCATGGAGGTTGTTCTCTCCCACTTGCTTCTTTTCAGTTCTCTCTATCTATCCGAAATTCATTTAGCAACCACGTTACCAGTATGTAAAATCTACTTGTGAACAAATTAGACTCTAAGCTTTGTCAGTTTTCGTTCTTTTTTGCAGAAAGTCTGTTTCAACGGACTAGGGTTAATCGTTCTTTTCTGTCTTGTCAAAACTCATTCTATGCCTTTATTCCATTAGAAACGGTGGTGACAGAAAAGAAAACCAGACCCCAAAGCGTCGTTCCAACTCTGCTAGTCCCAGCCCTAGACGTTCGAGGGTCACAGGCTCTGGCTATGTTCTTCGCCGATCACGATCGAGATCCAGGAGCCCCAGCCGCTTCAGGCCAACGAGGCCAAGAAGTCGAAGCCCACGACAGATGCGACAGCTTAGCCCCAGACACAGGTCAAGGTCACCGCAGCGATCAAGAAATCCGCTGAGAACTAGTCGGCGACCTCAGAGGTCTTCAAGTAATGATTGGTCACCAAGGAGGTCAACCCGATCTGAAGGTAAAGTGTGGATATGCACTGCCAAATTGAAACTTCCTTTAATTTTGGGAAAACTTGAGTTGATTTCAAGAGGTTTATCCGTCCAGGTGTCACCTAAGCTTTTTTCATAGCAAAATTCTGTTTCTAAACCCAACTTTTCCCTTTGCTGTTACTTTGTGAGAAGTATGCTTAGAAGAAAATGGGCATTCTAAAAGGTCTGAAGTCTTCCTTGCCTAGGAACTGGTTAATCGGATCAAATGACTGCTGAACAAGTGTCTGTGCCAGGTGTGCTCGGCTTTTAAGCCAGTAAGGGTAGTCAAGAATTGAAAGCAACTGAAAGTTCTTCTTCCTTCAGCATCAGAAAAGTAGTTCTACAAAGGCAGTGTAGATGAGGAGAATGCAATGCTGAGAAAGTGCTTTGGCTGGAGATGCAACTCACAAGGGAAGCATAGTGTTCTGAAATAATTTGTTGGGATACGAGCGTGGTATGTGAAAGACTTTCAGTGAAATGTCCTTTGTAACAGTGAAGTTCATTGCACTGTGCTGTGACTCCTCCTTCAGCTTACTTCCTCCAGTTTGCAGTTCTGGGAAATTTTATGTAAACTCGATCAGTTCGTTGTAGTTCATTTTGAGCTTAGTCTCTGGCTGAAATACGGGTTTGTTTGGAGTTTCTGTTTCTTTTTTAAAAAGGAGGAATTTTAAAAGGTTGATTTTCTTTGATCTGTATACTGTGGCTATGTGGTTTGCATGCTTTCAGAAAATTCAGAGGTACTGAGCTCTTGTGGGAAAGAAGCGTAGGTGAAAAGCTCTGAAGGGACAGGCAGTTACAGAGAGATCTTCTTAAGGGTGATGTGGAGAATGAGGGGAAGAAGCAATTAATAACCTAAATACAAATTTTCCACAGAAAGCAAGCATACAGGAAGTTAATGTTGTATCAGATTGTTAAAGACTTATTTAAAACAACAGTCTGTAGGACAAAGAGCAAGACAGAGAAGGCTACAGAATTTAATGGAAGGCATCAAGCTAGTAAGTACTGCTGTGCATCAGTAGGAGATGACGTGAAAGGAGGAGCAGAGTCTTGAAAACTTCTTTTCTTTTCTTACATTCCCTGACATATAAAATCAACCAACCGTTCTTTTGCTCCAGGCATTAGGATTTTTGTAGATATTGCCGGTGTCCCGTTGTCAGTTAAAACAGTGAAAGAAGTACAGAGGTTTGTTATTACTTCAAGGCCATCTCTGCTAGAGTGGGACTAAGGTTCTCTAACTTCAGTGAGTCTCAAGGTTGAATTGAGTGGGTGGTGAAACCGAGACTGTAGAAAACCAAACAGCGATATATCTAAGTTTTTTTTTTTTAACAACTACCAACCAAACCCAGTTTGTTTTCCCTTCTGCTCACAGACAGAAAGGCAGCTCTGGAGGCGGTAGTGAAAAGTTTGGGACCTGGCTTTGTGGCGAAGTTGAATAAACATAAGTCACTTCAAGCAGCTGGGCAAGGATCTTCGGGATCGGGAAAATCACCACCCTCTCGTGGACTCTTACGGAAGATGCCTGGAAATATGAAGAAGCCGCTGAAAACAAGCGTTTTAACAAAGGCTTCGAAGAAAGATGTGCCTTCTTTGCCTGGATCAAGTTCTTCGTCTCCTGAAACTGATGATTTACCCCAAAACAAAGAACTGGAAGAGGATGAAGAAGACTTATCCACAGGAACCAGTGGCCCTCGTCCTACTTCTTATAATAGGGTGAGTTGCTTGATGCTTTTCTCTGTGATATTAAGAATTTGGTTAGTATCTCATTTCAGGGGGATCACTTGTAGAAAGATTAACCATCCTGGTTGCTGATTCTATGCAATAGATGCTGCCATCTTAATGCAAAGATTTGCTGCCTGCAAGTAAGTGTGGTAATTTACACAGCAAGGATTTTTTAACAGACGTGAAGCAAAACCTCTCTAGCGCTTTCCAACAGCAGAAAGAAATGTCTGTTAAATTTGGGCCCTCGTTCTACGGCGCGCTTGTTTGTATGAAGTGCAAGTGATGACCCCTACTTGGAGGAGCTTATCGTGTAAGTGAAATTAATGGGTAGGAGGCCGAAAGCGTTCATTTTGGGCTATCAAATAAAAAAGATGAGGTGGAGAAATTTATTACTCTTGTTGTGAGAAGAACCTTAAGCTGGTGTTGTCTCAGTCCGTCCTGCTGCCTCGTGGGATCTTCTAGAAGTGCTGCCTGTAAACCAGATCTGTGTGAGGTTACTATCAGAGTGGTGGTGGATCTAGTCGTCCTTGGTGGTTTCCAGCCTCTGAGCGATGAGCAAAGAGAACTTTGCCCAGTGCTAGTGAGAGCTAGTAGGTAGTTTTGAAAGGAAAATAGTGGAATTGTGCAGTTTCTCACCCATACAGCCCAGACAACTGGAATTCTGGAGATCTATAGTACTTGATAAAAAACAAAAAGGTTGTATTGTGGTGCTTGGTAATCCTACATCACGTCTTTAATAACTGAAGATAGAGACAGAGTAGCAGAACAACAAAATTGTGGCTCTGTCCTTGTGTTAAAAAGCAAAAACCTCAAAATACCACTGTGAACTAAGCAGTTTGTCTAGTTTGAACAATTTTTATTACAGATTCTTTCTTCTTCCTTTTACTGGACTTGGAAAGTGATTAATTTTTTTGTTTCAATTTGTAGCTGTTGAGAGAGGAATTGCTGAGTTGTGGGACAGTCCTTCAAATATCTGATTTACCGGATGACGGCTTTTCAGATCAAGATATTAAAAAAATTGTTCAGCCATTTGGCAAAGTTAGCGATCTCCTTGTACTTCGCTCTAGAAATGAGGTAAGTTTTCCTGAAGAAAGTTTTTGTGTGGGAATGCAAAAGAAATTGTCAAGCAATGAAAAAATGTAATATTTGGATCCTCAGCTGAACATAGGGTAAGGCTTCCTGAACAGTTTGTCATTAAAGTTCATATGTAACATTGGAATAGCTGGGAATCTTCACTTTATAAATTCTGTCTTGCCTGCTACCTAAGTCTTAAATGTTAGAGGAAGTGGGATGCTTTTTGTACAATACTGAAATCCAGGCTTTTTCCTCAAACTCCACATGAAGTTAGAGACAGAAATACCTGCATTTCTGTCCTGAGCAGACTTGGTAAGGAAAAATTGCAGTGAATAGTTTCTTGTGTCTGTAATAGAAATAGAAACTGAAAGCGCCATTTATTTTAGGCCTTCTTGGAAATGAACTACAAAGAAGCCGTGATAGCAGCTGTGAAATACGGTGAAACTGTGCCAGTGCTGCTGAATGGGAAACGGGTGAAAATAAGCGTAGCGGAAAAACCAAAGGCATCTCCTGGCCAGGTAACAGCCAATTGGTGAACAACACGATCCCTTGCGTGTAGCTCCATATTTTGCCTCAAAACTTGATGTTCTTCAGAAAAATAGATTTAGTAGTTTTAGTATATTTTTAATTTCCTTTTCATAAACAGCAGTCTAAAATAAATATGCAAATGCACTTCCCAATTCCACTTTTCCATTTTTCTTGGTTAAATTTGATATTCGTGAATAGTATCAGTTTACAAACAGTGAAAGATATAACCTATATTAATACATATACTTCATTACTATTAATAGTTGTAAATTCTATTTTTATATGTATAGCTCTACATTTATAAATAAAGTATAAATGATGCAGTAAAAGTTTTTCTTTCTGTCCTAGGTCAAAATGAATATAAAAAAACGGGCTCAGAATATTAAAAAAGTTGCACGAAGTACAAAGTAAGTGTTGCCGTTATGTGCATTAGTGTTAGTTACAACAATTGGAAACCAAACAGGCTCGTATCTCTTTGCTTCCGTGTGTTTTCCTGGTTTTGAGCTGCTTTTAGCTGGTTTAATATTCATTAATTGTCTTTAAAACAGATTTTTCTTTATTCTTTTCTCATAATAGAAAAGATCTGAATGCCACCACCAAGACAACTAAATCCATTACGGGTAAGGTTTTTTGTTACCTTTATCTGATGATACCTGTGTTTTTTGCCTTCCCTCTTTGTCTTTGTTTTTATTTGAGTGCTTTTCGTAATAGAGACTGAAAGTGAGTTCAAAGAGCTGCAAGAAAACCTCTAGTTTCTACTTCGAGCGTTCTCTTTCAGAGTTAGTGCTCGTGCTTCTCCATGTCTTACGTTCCATGTACATTCCAAATGCTTTTAAATTTCTGCCCTGGTATTCTGATGAATCAGAAATTATCATAATTATTATTATTACTTGGTCTGGCAGAAGAACTTGTATGTCATGCTGTTAGACAACTTTTTTTTATTAGTGCTTCAATAAAAACAGGGCAAAGTGCAGTAAATATACCGAAAGCCAATGAAACTTTACAAAAATTTGGTATTATTAAGACACTGGAAATAACAACCATATAATTTTTTTTTGTTGTTTATTCTATTTACTTTCACGAGCAATTTTTCTGAGCAAAGTTAGGGACCAGACATTATTTTGATGGGAAATTTTGCTTTTTTTAAAGATGTCTAGAGTCATTCATCAGCGTGGTCACTTCTGAATCCAGTTTTCCAGAATAGGGTTAAGATTCATGTAATGGTGCGTTTCAGAGCTGTTTCACAGATGGAAGCCAGGAATTATTTACAGTCATCTAAGGGA